TTTTTCAAAAAATCCCTAAGAAATTATTTTTTTCCCTCTCTTTTTCATTTTCTTATACCTGAGATATAATAAAATATAAAAAATAATAAAAATCAATGTTCATAGTTCATTATACTGAATTGTAGTATACATGCTCATGTAAAATTTAGAATGATGAAAATTAAAAGATATATAATTTTTTTACTAATATATATATGTCATAAAATGTTTTCCATGTTTATCATGGAGACATTTTATATAAAATATAAATAAAATATCTAATATCTCTGAAATGGATATATTTAATAATTTTTGTCTACATCATCAGATATTTTGTATTAGTGTATATAACGAAAATGCTTTTGATATTTTTGAAAAAAAATCATAGTTCTATTCTTTTATCTATTTCTTCGAATCTATTTTATTATAAAAGATAATGGTATAAAATTGTCTTCTAGATAAAAAATTCTAATCTATTTATTTTTTTTCACATTTTTCAAGTAATTGTATATAATACGTTCATAATATATGCATATTTAATTCTCATTTAGAAATTATACTTATAATAATTAAACAGTAATTCATTATTTATTTGATTATTAACGTTTTATAGATTAATTATTTTAGTTGCACTCATCATATTGAATCCACATTTCTAGACGCTATAAGTTATACATAAATATGTCGTATTATAGAACATTATCAATTGAAGAAACATAGATTGTGTTTTTGGTTTCAATTCTTGAATTTAATAAAACAAAATTTTTACAATATATGTAAAAATGCATTTTTATACATTATATATTTCACAATACTATATTGTTAACATAAATTATGTAATGAAATTTTATACATATATTTACATCATATTGTTATATTATACAGCATATAACAAGGAATTAATAAAGGAATGTGTCCAAAGAATATCTTCCTATAATCTATGCTAATTAGTAGTTCTTTTGTTTGTGTAATATTACTCTACTCTTCTTGAAAACAACTATAATCAAAATTAATTAGGTCATTAAATTTATTAAAATAATCCTTATTCATATAATATATTTTACCGCCCTTATGTATTTATTTTAATCTATTATTATTGCGTTGTGCGTATCATAATTTTAACTTCCATATAATCATAGAACTAATTAAATAACTCCTACAAAATGCTAATTATTTTATATTTATAAGAAATATAAATTATAATGTTTCATATGTAATTCCAATCAATGATCTTTTATGAATTTTTTTCGGAAAGGTATTTTAACCATTTTAAATGTTTTGAATATATTTATTTTAAAACAATGCAAAAATTATAAAATATAATGTAAAATCATATTAATAAATAGAAAAAATGTATTTAAACTTTAAGATTTTTCTATATTTTTTCCTATTTATATTCCATGGCTATTATATAAGACATGTATTAAATGAAAAATAATTTGTTTTTAACTTATTAATGATCTGTGTTATTAAATATGATACATAATTTGCTCTTCTTAATATATACAATGTATAGAATAATACAATTAGATATTCATTTTCGTATACTATTGTTTATGTAAAATTTATTTATGATTAAATAATTATTAATAGCTTCACCAATAAATATTTACATGTATAAAAATCTAAACATAATTCAATAATCTACAATGTTAGGTGCTATACAAAAACATAGGAAGATATTCAAAATTATGTCAAACAATATATATAGAAGTATATAAACGTAATTACTTATATATTTCTTAAATTATATCCATAATTATATATATAAATGAAGAGAAGTATAATTCATTACTATAACAGTGTATTAATAAAAATGTTATTGTATAAATTTAATAAACACTATATTATTGAATAAATCATGAACAGTAAAACAAATAAACATAATACAATACAAATAAACATTGAAAATTAAAATTTATATTAATAAATAACATTATAATATAATACATATTTATAAGAACATAATATATTGTTAAAAAAATATTATGTATACGAAAATGGTAGTGTTAGAAATATATAGATGTCTCTATTTATAAAAACATATTTGTAGTAGACAATATATACATATATATAATTCTATTAATTGAGTAAAAATGATTAATTTATATTTTAAATATATTCTAATAAAATTTTTTTGGTATGAGTGTGAGGAACTTCCTAATCATTTGCACTATTGTTGCCGTATAACAAAAATAATGGAAAAAATAAGATATTGAATATAAATAATCATCATTAAACATGGTGTATTCCATTTAAATATGGAATGAAAAGAATATTATAAAGGAATATATTAGAAAATGTTGTTTAATAATGAAGGAGATTATGTGCATGGTTTCTAAATATTACTATTAATTTAAGGATATGTAATTATTTTTAACATATACATTTTCAGCACAATATTTTTTGGTTTATTTACTGCATAATATATTTTTAATATTTTAATTTTTTTTTAAATTTATTTTTTATATTCATTTTTTACTTTAGCATATAGATGTTGCTTTGTAACAATCCTAATAATAATTCACAGATAAATATTTATCTAGCAAATTCGACATCTAATATTCGTAATATTTATTAGAATAATAATTAAATTTATAGATATATGTATGTAGGTTTTATATAAATATTATTAGTTCATATAATGATGAATATTCATATAATTATAGAGTATAATATATTGATAATATATAATTTTTATGAATCGCATATATTATACTTAGAAAATTATAAAACTATATCCATTATAAATTACATATAATTCATTTACAAAAATCTCACATGAATTCAATATGTATTTATATATTAAATACTCTTCCATCTACGGTTTCTTTATAAAATCGGTCAGAATTTAACTTAGCGATTCAATGTATATTTCATATTTCATTTCATATTTCATTATATATTAGTTTAGAGTTTTACCTAATTTTTTATTAAGCAGTGAATTTTCTCATTTGGATATATGTATTTAGATAATATGTTACTTCTTCTTATATTTGTAATTTTATGCATAGCTCATATACTCTCAATTTAAGATTCTTCTCTCATTGGAACAGTTTAAAGAACTTATTTGAATGTTATATAAAACAGGCTATATACGTAGATCCATATTTTTTAAAAAAACATGAGTCCTTATATTACAGTGTCACATTTATGTACAAGCTTCTCATTCTGTGTAGAGTTCATATATAATAGATTTTTTAATGAAGTGTTTTCAGCATTAATTGAAAGAATAAAATAATATGCTAAATAGTAATCATGACAATGAATTATATTTTTTATTAAGTAATTTATCATGAAGGAAATTCTAATTTATAAATAAATTTCTCTGTTAAACAAAATTCAATTATATTTTAATAAAATAATTTTAAACTATATCAAATGACTATTTTTATAGTCTCTTAATCTTAATAATATTTATTATAAAGTAAAATGCTCGTTGTATGTCTTATATACATGCAACTAAGGAGAACATTAACATATTGTAAATGAATACTTTAATATATATGTAGAATTTCTAATAAAAATCATATATTACATATACCGCTAAATTTATTGTTTTATAGGAAAGTAACGTTTTTTTAATAATAAAATATATTTAAAATTTCAAATAAAATCTATTATGATAGAATTCAGTAATGATAATTAATATTTTTAATTTCTTAATAATGAATATATTTTTCTATCAAAAAATTAAATTTTTATAAATGTTAATTAACTGTTACAAAAAATTATTGTGAGTAAACGTTCTATATATTTACTATATAAAATCATTGTTTAATAACCTTAAATTGTTAGTGAATAAATGACAAAGAAAAAAAAAAAAATTTATAAAAAAATATTATTTTTTACAATAGATGGTCAAATAGAAGAAACAATTTTTATGTTAATGTCTATTTTATTCACATAATAAAAATGTACATTCCATGTGTTATAATTGTATGTACTCAAAATACTTCATATGACATAATTAGAACGAATAATTTTAATATATATAATGCTCATAAATGAAACATTATTCAAATCTTATAAGAAGTAATTAATTCTTGAAAAATTCCTATTTAAAATATTTTATATATTCATTATATTATAAAAAGAAAGTATCCTTGTATATATTCATTTCATTTCTATAAAAACTGATAATAATTTACATATCAGCATAAATAAAAAATTAAAATATAGTATATGAATACTAATTGCTTAAATAACATATTATTCACTTTTAAATACCACCTTAATATATATGTTCTGTTGAAAATGTCTAAAATTGTAATGAATTATTTCCTTTAGCATAGGTATATGTTTCATTTATGTGAGTATAATAAAAAAAATATAAATATAATGTATAGAATATTATATGTTATTGTAATTTAAGTACATTCTAAGTCTTTCACATTATTACATCTATTATTACATTTAATAAATAGTACTGATATCCATATTACTCAAATATTCATAAGGCACATTAATAAGCTTATATCATTTATTACATAATAGAAATAAATTAACTGCGAAATTATTCTTAATCATTTTATATTCTAATATATTATATATCTTTAATTAAATCATACATATTACTATAAAAAATGCAAATGGGGAATAATAAAAAGTGTTTAATATATATTTATATTGATAGCAATTAAATATATTATATTATATTTTTCTTTTTATATTATACGTAAAATTATATAATTTTTATGTTTTAGACAAACGTTATACTCAGTCAACGTATATTCTTTTTTTATTTTATTTTAATTCTTGTATATAATCTTTATATTTTTTCCTTATTATAATTAAAAAATATATTTTATTTTACTACGATTACTTTTTTTTTTATTATGTGTAAAATTTAATTATCAAGCTGTTCGTTCATTTTTTACATCAATTCTATAATTAAATAAAAATGATGAAATTGTTCTACTTCCGACTGTGTTCTCTCATTTTAATGAACACTATAGATATTTACATGTATTTCATTGCTTTATCCAGATATTTTGTGAAAAAATATAATCATATAAAAGATGTCTAATGATATTGTACAACTTTAAAAAATATGAATTAAATATTATCATATTTTTAATTATAATTTTTTAATAAAACTAATAAAAAATTTTAATAAATTATAATTTTTGTCATATTATAATTTTTCATTTCTTTATAGTATAAAATTGCAAAAGAATTCCTTAAATATGAAAATATTATGAATAAAACACACACAGAGGTTTATAGTTGGAATGAGCCTAATTTTACTCATATTACTGAAAATAATTTTCCAGGTTTTGGATTTCATATTCAGACTATATGCAAAGATTTTGATAATTATACAAGTACTATAGTTAAGGACACTACAAATTCTATCAAATCCAGTTGTATGTATTTGTATTATTGGCTATATTATAAGAATGATAACAGGAATATTGAAAACGTTAAAAAACGTTATGTCACATTGATTAAGACTGACAGTACATACCATGCAACATTATGCAAAACTTATGTTTTCACTACTATTACAGAAGATATAATGCCAAAGCTCAAAGATCTGCATGACGTGTACACTAATCTAAATATTATAGGGAATAATAGCAGTCCTCATAGTCATGATAAATGTAGTGGTACAAGCGAATTCGCTAAATTATATATGAAATACAAAGATTCATGTGAATCCCAAGAATACCGTGATTTTTGTAATGAGATAAAAAAATGTTAGGGAAATGTATAATGTAATTATTAATATAATTGAACATTGTGGTAATTTACAATATAAAATGTTACCTTTGTTCCAAAAAAATAATATAATGGTTCCAATTGTAATTATAAATGTTGTGATATTATTAATGTCAATAACATTATTTATTCTGCATAAAGAAATTATTATATTATGTATACATATTTGCTGTGCAAAATTAATTTGCTACATAATTATAAAAAAAATTTTAATATAATTTTTATTTAAAATATAATTTTTTTTTTAACTAGTTTACCCCATATATTTTATGCTTTAAACGAACATTAAGAAGAAAACGAAATAAGTCGAATAATATAGATGAAGATTACAATATGTTCCAATCGTGCAAAATTGTGAGCAGTGCTACTGTGAAGAGTAGACAGAATATTTTATATCATAATGTCTAATTCTGCCATCACATACATTAAACATTGCAAGTATTTGATTAAAACAAATTAAATAGAATTAAACACTTAATATACTAAAATTCTCTTATAATTTATTCATATAAATGTATAGCAATAATTATAGTAAAAAAATTATATTAATTTTTCTATACAGAAGTTAAAAATTTCAAAATAAATATTCTATTAATATGTAAAATATATCTCTTTCTTCAATAAAATATGGATAAAAACAAAAAAAGTAACTGTCATCTATATCCCTTATTAATATACAGTAGATTACGTGCTTAATAAGGCTATAAGTTATAAAACAATATAAAATAAAAAAAACGATGATAGAAAATATATATTTATATAGTACAGCACAAAAAAAATTTCTAAACTAGTATTATAATGCATTACAGTATATGTTATTAATTTCTACATATATCATGTTAATGCATAATATAGAATTATTGAAATTCGTAATATATTTATCAAATGTGCATATTTATGATTAATTTTTCCTATGTTTTTTAATAATTCTTAGTATATATTTTGATAATAAGAATTTTTTGTGTTTCTATATTTTTTTTACTAATTAAGGGATGCTTAATACATATCTCTTTATTAGTACCATAAATAAAATATTACAACATATAACATGTTAGTTATATTGTGCATAATTGAATGATACGATTTTTTTGTTCCTTAGTTCATGTAAAGCTTTATTATAATATATGTACTTCTATATATTGCTCATTTCAAGTATCAGCTCTGTAAAAATGGTTAATAAAAGGCTAATATTTTATTCTTTTTAACTAAGGAAAATATATTAAATAAATAAAATATTTAAAGACAATGGACATTATTTGAATCATATAATATTTTTTACATACAAAATTTTATATTTATTATTTATTTTTAAATATTTTTTTAATTTCAAATGTGAATACACTAATGAATTATATAAATTTTTAAAACTGTTAGCTTTTCCACTGTTATTGATAATTAAATTATATTATATATAATTTTTATTTTAGATCCATGCTTTAACATCACATAAATATATGAACACAGAATACTATTATTCCTTAATACATTATTTTCTTCACATTATAATAAAATATTTTTTAGTATTTTCATATAACGTCACACTTAAGTACCATACTTTTCTTGAAATCTATATATACATATATATTTGAAATTATAGTTTGTCTCTAATTCTCTTTAAAAAATCTATTCATTATAAGAATTATATATATTATGCTTATAAAATCTCGTATTATTTTATATAAAAGATATATTATGAGTAAAAAATTTTTATTTTAAAAAGGATAATACAATAATATGCACATTATATAATATATATTCTAATTATAATGAAAATATAAATTATATTTAATAATACTCATAACATATTGACATATTAAGGAATATTATTTTTTGGTGTCTTACAAAAATAATATGATGCTTTATTTTCTCTATACCTTACTTATCCATAACAGAGACATTCAAAATTGTACATGTTATTAAAAGGAAATAAATAATAATTATACAAAAATTTTCATATAAAGAATAAATTTTAATAATAACACATCGTTCACACAAATTTTTAATTATAAGAAATATGCATGACGACATTTAAGTATTAACATAATACGCTACGACAATGCTTTTCCAATGAGAACGTAATATTTCCACATTATATTATATTTTAATTTTGTTCACAATATAAATGTAATAAACGTATTATGAATAAAAAAAATATTTTATCTTTTTATAATACCATAATTTATTTATTTTATATATAATTAAAAAATAATATATCAAAAATATAATTCCATTGAAAATTTTTATTTTAAATCAGGAATATCTATAAGGCATTCTAATGATTTACCTGATGAAAACATATTGTCCACATATAAGTAAGTCATCATTTCTTGTGAATATAAAGTAATTAATATTTAGATAGTCCATAAGAACTATAAGAATATGTATATATTATGAAAAAATTTATATTATATCTACTAAAATTAATACATAAAGCAGCCAATTATTTACATAATTTGCGGATTTGTAAGTATTGTAATAACTATAAATTAATAAAGTTTAATATTTCTTTAATGTGTTTCACGTGAAAATAAATAATAACATGCATTGTTTATAATATACTAGTAGGTGGTTTTGATCACACGACGATTAAGAAAAATGTTAAAATTAAAAAAAAATAAATAGACAATAAAAAGATATTAAAATTAATAAACGAATAAATAATCATAATACAACATTTTATGATGTATACATATATAAATAATTTATATAATGTGAATATGTACTATTCATAAAATCATCTTGTGTAAAAAAAAAAAATTTCATATATTCTTACATATTTTATTGATTATAGCACTCAACTTTATGTATATTAAGCACAGGTTAAATAATATATACTCCTTAGATATATAAATTAAAAGTGTATAATATTCATAAAAGAAAAAAACATATATTTCCATTTTATAATAAACATAGAATAACCGTAAAATTGAATTCATATATTGTTCTTAATAAAAAACTATTCACATATATCCATCTAACGTAATGTTCATAATTTTATATACTGAACCATATAATAATTATATTTAGAAGAAATTAATATATATATTAATTTAAGGCACAA